CGTGTTGAATTGTGCAATTTTTTTTTCGTGTAAAAGCCAAAACATTTTTGTATTCACTGAAATTTGAACTTGGAGGCAGATTTGATGTGGCTGGACGTGTGACTGGGTTTGGGAATCCTGATTGGGCGAGGACTCATCCGGCTGCTGAATCAACAGCTCCGGCTGTTTCGGCAATATTGAGTGGAGGTGCCACAAGTATTGGTATAACTGTCATGGATGAAATGGCATACTGGTTAGTGCAAAGAGGCCTTGTCTTACTTCACATGCTTAAACTTGCATTACTGTTTTGTTTGCAAAAATTTTGACAAATGATTGATCGCTACAAGTCTCTTTTCGTGGTAAAAGTATTCATATAATGATTTTGGACATCCGAAAATCACTCGACAGAAAACGCCCTTGAATTTTGCTTTGTGTTGTTGGCAGTATGAATGGAGAGAACAAGCATTATGGCACACCCAGAAATCCGTGCGCACCAGATAGGGTGCCTGGAGGCTCTTCTAGCGGTTCTGCTGTTGCCGTGGCTGCAGGCCTCGCAGATTTTTCCTTAGGTAAGTTATTCCTTGTGTGCTTTTGTTGTTTTCTTGCTTCTTTATGTTGAAGCACAAGACCCTCTCTTTTTCAGGAACCGATACTGGAGCAAGTGTAAGAGTTCCTGCTTCGTATTGTGGAATTTTTGGGTTTCGGCCATCTCATGGTGTCATTTCTACTTCTGGAGTTACTCCTCTGGCACAGAGTTTCGATACAGTGGGTGAGAAATCAATGACATTTTATATTGCAGACTGGCTTAGGAAATTGATTTCTGGTTGTGACAAAAAAAAAGTCATGTTTCGGTTTTCCCTCGATTTTATATAACAGGAAATCTCTATTTCTGTTTCTAGACAGTAGCTGACTTCTTCCGCTTTAATGATTCATATGCCATCCATGCATTCTGCATTTTTGTTGATTATTACTTGTGACACTTCTGTGTTTAAGTTTTTCTGCAATTGGAAATATAGTACTTCGAAAGCTTTACCCATGCGAATGATCTATCTAGCGCTCTAAGCAATCGGAAACTATCCTTTTGACACTAACTTCTGATATAGGATGGTTTGCAAGGAATCCTGCGATTTTGAATAGAGTTGGACGAGTGTTACTCCAATTACCTGATACGGGTCCTGTCATACCCACTCAGTTAATCATCGCAGAAGACTGTTTCCAGCTTTCAACCGTTCCAAGCAGTCGAGTGAAACAAGTACTTGTTGACTCAGTTGAGAAGTTATTTGGGGGTAAGTGATTTGACCGTATTGTTCTGTTTCATCTCTCGCTGTAAGTATTTTGATTGACATGAATCGAGTCCAATTTATAATTCCCCGCGTTTTAAGACACAAATAGACCATTAAATTCAGTAGACAGATTATTACCTGAAAATCATCATTCATTTAATTAAATTGGGTCTCCTGCTGAGATAGGGACAAGCTCATAACATGGAAAGAAGAAGCTCACTCGTTATATCTGCAAATGCAGGTCATGTTATAAAACATGCTAACATCGGGGACGTTGTCAAGGACAAAGTTCCAAGCTTGAACTCTTTCTTGGATAAAGGAAATCCAAGTGAAGAGTACATTATACCGTCATTGGCAACCCTATCAACCGCCAATCGTCTTCTCGTAAGGTGCTGATTTGGTGGACTTGAATATGAGTGTGATAATTTCTGCATCTTCATCTTGATTAACAAAAATTAAATTTGTCGTTCATAATGAATTCCAAATTTATTATTTGGTTGATAGAATAGGTATGAATTCAAGAGCAACCATGGTGAATGGGTTAGTACAGTCAGACCTGACTTAGGTCCCGGGATAGCAGAACGTGTATGGGCAGCTGTTCGGTCAACAGATGAAAATGTCGATGTTTGTCACTCCGTGATGACTGAATTGCGCGCTGCTCTTACTGACCTTCTCGGGGTACTCTCTCTCTCTTTCATCTTTGCACACGCCAGAGTTCATTTTCGGAATCCGTCGCTTCATATCAAATGAGTTCATTTTGTTAGAGTAGAGAGACTGACAAACTGTTATTTGTTAGCATCTTCCTTCCTTTTGCTCTTAAAACGAAACTTTTAGCAGAAGAAATGGATGATACATACTGTCTCTAATGAATACGTAACACAATCTCTTTGATTTAATTACTCATCAGGATTTCGGTGTCCTCGCAATGCCTACAGTTCCAAGGGATCCACCAAAGCTGCGAACAGATCCTACTACACTCGACGCTTTTCATGCCAGGGCTTTCAGCTTCCTATCCATTGCCGTAGTTTCCGGATTCTGCCAGGTTTTTAAGCCCTTTATCTATCTCTACCTCTCCCTCCCCCTCTCCATGTTTGTATACGACACATTACGATCTTCTTCTTCGTCATTGACTGCAAGTTTCTTGCGAAAGTTTGTAACTTATTTCTACGTATTTGCAGGTGAGTATACCTCTAGGGATGCACAATAACCTACCTGTTTCAGTTTCCTTGCTGGCAAAGCATGGCTCGGATGGGTTCCTGCTCAATCTTGTCGAGACTCTTTACGACACTCTCAAAGAACACGTCGGGAAGTTGTGAATGTTGACTACAAGATTTTGAGTTGCAGATTCTTATAATCTTTTCCTGATATATGTGCTTGTAAGTTCTACTAGTTTGGTATTGTTATGTTTAAAAAAAAAAAAAACTGCTTCGTTTTGAGAATAAACAACTGTAAAATAAAATTGTTAAGCATTTGATAAATTTTTATTGTAAAAGTGCTTGTAAAAAAAATATATATAATAGCATCCAAATGTTTTGTAAACTTTTATATAAAATTAATGTGAATATATTAAATACTAAAAATGATATGGCATTTAATATGATATAATAATTGTCAAAAAGAATATTACACGGGCAAACATTGTTATTTTGTAAAATATGTATGGTTATACTTGCCTTTTGAAAATGTCATTAAATGCCCATTGTTCACTATGCTTAGAAATTTTTAGAAGCATGATGGACACTGCTTGTGCTTTTCTATGCTTTTCTGTTGCCATTGACAACAGTTTTTTAAATGGTTAGGAGAGAGATTAAGTTGACATCTAAAGCTATGGGTGATCGATTTATAAGTCCGCTTGTCGTAGGTTAGTAATTCGATTTGACGGATGAAAAATATTAAGGAGATTTTGTTCAAAGTGGATTAGGATTCTAGCCAAATTCTTTTTGTGGAGATTTGGATGATTAATCAATTATGTCCGCTTATCGTGCATTGTGCGGTCATAAATTATTTTAAATTATTTTATTTAAAATTATATAAACAACATCCAATAAAAACTGACTGCACTATGTATAATGAACGAACATAATAAATTAATCATCTAGATCTCCATAAAGAAAATTTGAAGAAGATCTTTATCCTTCAACAGTAAGTGCCATCTTCTTTTTTTAGCCAAATTTTCACGTTAATATTATAAAATATTTTACTAAACATTAGTAGAGAGCCCACTAACATGCAACAGTCAACGATGAAGGTAGGTAAGGTAAAGAAGAGTGGGCGCTGCTTCGCCATTGGAAGCGGTCTCTACTGACAACTGTGTTGCAGTGCGAGCGGCGTAGTTTCCAACCAAAACCCAAGCGCCCTGCTTATGCTAGTGTAAAGCACGCGGTGCAGTCTCAAAAGCTGGCTCTTGTACTCGTCCATCAATCAAAATTCATTTACGGCTGGTTTAATATTAGGAAAACTAACGAAAGGGTTCGAAAATTTTTAGTTTTAACGATAAAGATAAAATAAAATGTAAAATGAATACTACCAGATTTGACTTTTTAATGTAAAAATATGATTTTTCGTTAAAACTCTCTTTAATATTTATGTTTGGCACAAAAATGGATATGGATTGAAATATATAAGTTAACCCTACTCCAGTCTCATTATTTACATTGTTGTGATATACTAATCTTGACAGAGGGTAGACTAAGGCCTGATTTGGTACTGAGGTGATTCTGAAACAAGCTGGTATAAAAAAAAAGCTAGGAGTTGTTTTTGTGTTTAGTAAACATTCAACTTCAGCTTTTTTTTCACAGTTTTGGGTGAAAAAAAGCCGAAGACAAGAAGCTGTAAAACCCAGCTTTGAAAAATCGACTTTTTTTCACATCTTTTTTACATAAAAATTTACCAAACATTATAATACTGTTTTTTTTTTTTTTTTCAAAAGCATTTTTACAAAAAAGTTTAGCAAACACTCTGCTGCTTTATTTCACAGCTACTTATTCTCACTGCACAGCAGAAGCAGCTTTTTTTTTAAAGCACAACAATACCAAACTAGCCTTAAGAAGACTTATTTCGACCTCAAAATCCGAGATTCGTAATTTGGTTTTCTTGATTGGATGGGAATAGATAATATTCATGATATGTTAGAAAAAGAGATGACAAAATTATTCATTTCAATCCGAGATTCATGATTTTTTTTATAATAACGGGTATTAAATTTAACCATAAAAGTTGAAGCGGAAAACTTTTTGTAAGTTAAAAATTTTAAATTTTAACTTAAGGATTGGAGACAATTTTAGAAAGCATCGCAACTATATTTTTCAACCTGAAAACCACTTTTAAATTTTTTTGCCCAATACTATCAAAAGTGTTTTTGATGATCTGAAAGCGTTGTTAATTATTGAAAAAAAAAAAAAAACTAATGAAAATGATTGAAAATTTTGAATTTGAACGATATAAAAACAAAATAAAAGATAAAGTAAATAGAGCTAGGATTGACTTTTAGTGTAAAAATGTAATTTTTCGTTAAAGTGAACAGTATTAGAAGTTTTTCGTTAAAGTGAACAGTATCAGAAGTTTTTCGTTAAAGAAGTGAACAGTATTGAAAGTTTTTCGTTAGAGTAAACCGTATCAGAAGTTTTTCGTTAAAGTTCCAGAGAAAAACTTCCAAACAGACTCCCGATTCAATCTGTTCAACAACCCTTTCCAACAATGGGCATCAACCACCGAGTAATTGGCTTCGAGTGGAAATGATCCCTACACCATGATCCCCGCAGATGATCCACGCGCCGCCACCGTCATGGAGTCAAAGAAACATGAAAAACAAGAAGCCAAATAAACGAATCAGAAGGCCAACTGTGGTTGGCTGCAACCCAATTACGACTTTCCCACATTAATAAATCAAATGGACTGTATAAATTATCCCCACATTGAACAGATTTAAGTCACCAAGTTCCAAGTTGCAAACATCCAACCACCACACTCTGAGACTCTCTGGGGTTCTCAATATTGGCACCAAAATATTTGGTCGCCCCGATTGGAATCATTCAACTAATTCCAGCAATTACCCAAAAAAAAAAAAAAAAAAAAAAAAAAAAAGGAAAGAAAATGGAAGTGAAAGCAAGAGCTCCTGGAAAAATCATACTCTCCGGTGAACATGCTGTCGTTCATGGATCAACGGCGGTGGCTTCCTCCATTGACCTCTACACCTACGTCTCTCTTCGCTTTCCCACTCCCTCTGGTACTCACCCTCTCTCTCTAGTCTCTAATCTCTACTGGGTTTCTTTTCATCTGTCAATTTATATGATTTATTCTTCGATGTGACATTTGGTGCGCTTGATTTGGGATGTTATCTGGAAGATATTATATTTGAGTTGGGTTCGTGGGTTTTGCTTAGGATATCATTTCTGGGTTGCGAATGGTTTGCCAATGCAAAAGTTTGCATCTTTTTTACGGTTGGATTCATGGTTTTGATTAAGCTTTCAAAGTGATAGCATTTCCAATCCAAAAGCAAAAGTTCGCGTCTTTTTGTAAGATAAGAATTCAGCTTTTGGGTTGCCTGAAATCAGGGTTTATAGAAACCCTTTTCAGATTCTGGGAACTTCCATTGGGTGAGATGATAGCGTTTCTGAAACTTCTGTCCTGTTTAGGTTTCATGGGGTTTGATTTAACTTTGTGACCGTGTTACCAAAGCGAAAAGTTATCTTTTTTCTGAGCTAAGCTTAAATTTGGTTGTTTTTGTGGATGAATCTGAATGGTTAAACCTGTAGGTTTTAAGTTATGTTTAGAAATCTATTCAGCAACCGGATTACTTGATATCAGGATTTTAAAGAAACCCTTTTTAGATCCTGGAATCTGTTTTCGGACGACCCTGACTATTGGCCTAGTTGAATTTATAGGGGTTAAGTTATATTAGAAATCTGACTGTTTTCAGGGTCTTAATTTCGAGAATGAGAACATGTAAACGTTTCTGATCTGAACATGGTATAAAGTTCATATGTTCAAGTCCAGGTTAATTCTATATGAATCTCTCACTGACCGTCTTTCGCTATTATTCATAGATAATGATGATGCACTAAGACTCCAGCTCAAGGATATTGGATTAGAGTTTTCATGGCCTATTGGTAGGATAAAAGAAGTCCTATCAGAATTAGATATTCCCAACTCATCAGTTCCAACCTCATGTTCAACGGAGTTGATTAAATCACTTGCTGCTTTGGTTGATGAACTGAAAATTCCAGAGGCAAAAATTGGACTTGGTGCTGGAGTGGTGGCTTTTCTTTGGCTATATGCATCTATCCAAGGGTACTCAACTGTTATTTGTTTGAATAATTGACTACTTTCTGTTCTTGTCGATTTATTCTTATTTTCTCATTCTCTGATTTCTTCTCTTCATGGCTCAGATTTAAGCCTGCTACTGTTGTTATCACTTCAGAACTTCCGTTGGGCTCAGGCCTGGGATCATCTGCTGCATTATGCGTTGCACTCTCGGGTGCTCTTCTTTCTTTCTCAGATTGTGTAAGTCTGGATTTGGGCAACAAAGAGTGGACTACTTTTGGGGAAAGTGAACTTGAATTGCTGAACAAATGGGCTTTTGAAGGTGAGAAGATCATCCACGGAAAGCCGTCTGGAATCGACAATACAGTTAGCACATACGGTATGTTATTTTGTGTCCTGTGCCCAACTCATTGTCTTCCTTCATCATTATCTCATTTCTTCTTCTTTTGCTTATCTTCTTGCCTTGGATCTTCGAGTTAAAGTTCTTGGAATCAGTTAGATAAATAGTTTGTCTGGATTAGTACGAAAAGTGTTATGATGTCAAACAGCTACTGGTGAAAAGGAAAATTTTCAATTTACTCGAAGCTACATTTTTTCTTTCATGAAGAGAGTCATTTATCTCTATGCATCTACTTTATTGGTGCTTACTAGTACCCCAAAAATAGTCGCACCAGATCCACATTGCATCTTGAAGTTCCGCTTAGGACTTTTCTTCGGTAAGATAGGAACTCTCTTTAGGTTGATTTGCTTAATCCATTCTTTTCTTCTGCCACCTCTTTTATTCTTTTGTAATCCAAGCCTAGTGTTGGTTCCATCATCCTGTTGTGATTCAGTGAGGAACTGTTCATACTGGCTCATTGTGATTAATCTAGAAACTACTGTTTTTTAATCACCTAAAATTAGTCATTTGGATCTGATATCGCAGTAATTACGAGGTATTCAAATATGCATAATGGTATCTGGTTTCAGACATAGCTCTCCACATCATCTTTTGGCATATTTGTTGGAGTTCAAACGTTAGAGCTATGGAGCTTTTGACGATATCTTAATACGAATCTCTGGTGCAACAGGCAATATGATCAAGTTCAGATCAGGTAGTCTGACTCGCATCAAATCGAACATGACACTCAAAATGCTTATTACCAACACAAAAGTTGGTAGGAATACGAAGGCCTTAGTTGCTGGTGTTTCTGAGAGAACTTTAAGGCATCCGGAGGCCATGGCTTCTGTGTTTAATGCAGTGGATTCTATCAGCACGGAAGTGGCTAACATCATCCAATCGCCCGCCCCCGATGAGCTCTCCATTACTGAGAAGGAGGCGAAAATAGAAGAGTTAATGGAAATGAATCAAGGTTTGCTCCAATGTATGGGGGTCAGCCATGCTTCAATTGAAACCGTTCTTCGAACAACGCTGAAATACAAGTTAGCTTCCAAGTTGACCGGAGCTGGGGGTGGAGGTTGTGTTCTCACACTACTGCCAACCTGTATCCTTTTCATGATTCCCTTTATTTTTGGTTCTTCAGTACATTATCTCATGTCTTCTCATTTTCCTTCTCTAATAGTGGAGAACAATGAACTGATAGTTAGCTGCACATAAACACGGTTTAGGGTCTGTTTAGAATTTGCTTATAGAAGGGATAAAATTGCTTTTTGACAACTAAAAGCACTTCTAATTACATTTAGCAGAAAAACTTAAGAGTGCTTCTGAGTTGTAAAAGTGCTTTATGGAGAAGCACTTGCTATGTGCTTCTTCAAGAACCTCTTCCAAGTGCATTTCCAGGAAGTAATTGAATTTTCAATAAAGTTTTCTACATGTTTATAATAAAAGCATTTCTACCAAAAGTATTTATGAGCGTAAGTGCTTCCCACATAAGCAGTCTCAAACGAGTTCGTACTGTCCCTTTATACTCTGTTTAGCGTTCACCTAGTTCTGTTGGTGCTTAATTCCCAATACCTTGCACGTTGTTTCCTTGACCACATGAATCAGTGCTATCAGGAACTGTTGTTGATAAAGTAACTGCTGAACTGGAGTCTTGTGGATTCCATTGTTTGACGGCCGCCATTGGTGGAAACGGAGTCGAAATTCGCTTCGCCGGTCCGTTGTAACCTTCCCTCCGAAGTGCTGAGTGTAAGATCTTAAACCTCCATTGCTGACTGGTAGGACTCGAGCTCTATCTGCTGTTTGTAAATTATTTTCTTGTATTCTGAATTTTTATCCGATAAATTTTCGTCTTCCAATTTCTTGGCGAAAATAATTGAAAAAATGGCAATCTGTGCTAGTTCTTGTAACTTCTTGCAACTTCTCGTCACTCGCAGATTTCTTGTGGCGTAAACAAGATTGTTGCTATGGAATTATTTTTATCTTAATCCTCTTAAATCACAGCTTAGCACTGTTTTAACATTGCAAATACACAGCATGTTAGCAGGATAATGTAGGATAATAATCTACCTTGTAAACGATTGTATATCCTCGTGTCCATCTCTTCTTTCGCCATCTCTTCTTTCGCGTCACCTCTTTCTGTTATATAACCAGTTGTATATTGGGCTGGATTCTGTTATATAACCGGTTGTATATTGGAGCCATGGTCCGGAGAGTTTGGAACGATTAAACGCGGATTCTGAGAATCCAACCCATTCTGCGAATCCAACCCATTCTAATGGGTTTCTACCTTGTAACGGGTTGTATATCGGTGATGTGGGATTGTTAAGGATCGCTCCAACTTAACCCAACTCATCAGAAAACGGTACAGAATTTGTTCCATGCTTTATTAGCAAAAAGACATGCTCATTTATTTATGAACTTCACACAATATTGGACATCTGAAACTCTTAGAAGTCCTCTTCCTCAGCTGTTGCGTACAGCAGACGTACACAAACCATTTCATGACCCAAAACACACCCAAAAAAAAAAAAAAAAAAAACACCAGCCGAGAGAATCCTCCACAAAACCCAATCAAGCATTTACAACAGTTCCACCTGCAAAATTCCAAAGATCGTTAAAAAAAAAAAAAAAAAAAAAAAAAAAAAAAAGTGTTCTCGTACATAAAAATGTAGCGTAAACACCGCCCAAAATACATTTGATTAGTAAGAAATCGTTACCATTAGGATGGAGGACTTGGCCGGTGTAGTAAGAAGAGAAGGCATTGGAAGCGAGGAAGACGTAGCTTGGCCCGACCTCACATGGCTGCCCGGCTCGCTGCATTGGCACTTGGTTGCCGAATTGTGAAACCTCCACCTCATCAAAAGATGCCGGAATCAATGGGGTCCATATTGGTCCCGGAGCTACACCGTTGACTCGAATGCCTCGGTTTACCAGCTGCAATGCCAGTCCTCTTATGAATGCCACAATGGCCCCCTTGGTGGAAGTATAATCAAGCAGCTCGGCGTTTCCTTTGTATGCATTGACTGATGTCGTGCAGATTATGGAGCTTCCTTCTTTCATGTGCTTCAACGCATGCCTTAAGTTCACAATTTCACATCATCATCAAAACTAAAAGGTTTTTAGAGAAGAAACTTCGAGTACACGTGTTATAATATGCTTATGATTGCACGAAGATGGATTAGAGATCGTTTGGTAACAATTTCGGTTATTTTCTTTAAATTACCTGGTCGTGAAGAAGTAAGAAAATATGTTGGTTCTAAAGACCCTCTCCAAACGGGGCTCATCAATCTCTTCCACGGAGCTTGCTTTGTACTGCTCAGCCGCATTGTTAACCAGAATATCAATGCGGCCGTATGCAGCTGCGACTTTCTCAACAACATTCTTGCAATTTTCATCGTATCCGAGATCGGCTGCAAGGGCCATGGGTTCCTTGGCATCAGAAGTCTTGGCCTGTTTGATCATTTGGATTGTGTCTTGTGCGTCCTTGTCCTCTTGTTCCTTCACATATGTGAAGGCCACGGTTGCACCCTCTTGAGAAAAGAGATGGCACACAGATCTCCCTATCCCAGAGTCCCCACCCGTCACTAGCGCTACTTTCCCCTGCAACACTTGAAACATAACTATACATACATACATACATACCACTTATGCAAGAAAAACTTATATCCTACACAAGATATCACTGTGACGGTAGCCAACTGCTAAGTGTAAATCAATCACACACTTGCATGCTTTATAACTTTCTCACTTAAAAATTTTCCTACTTCACTTGTAATACCGCCACAGTGTCATCATGGATCAAATGAAAACTAATGAACTTTTATTGGATCACATGGAAACTTATTGAAATTTTATTGTAAGATGTAATACTTGGAGCTTGTTGGAGGGTTTGTAATCAGGGTTGGTGAACTGAGGGGTGGGGTCCATGGCATGTTCTTTGCCAGGCTGAGCTCCTTGTTTCTGAGGAGGGAACTGCTGCTTTCCACCAGAAGCCATTGTTCTCAAAACTCTCAGAGGACTCTTCAAAGAAGTTGCTGGACAGTAACTTTGGATGTAGGGTTTGGGAAGACACAAATAAAATGCTGGTGAAGATCTGCTTTAGGGTTCTTGATGAGGAGGAAGCTAAACGGGAAAGCACATATGCAATGGTTGTACAAGAATTTGACAAGGATGTTAAATAGGAGATTTGAGTTGACACGTGGGGGAGCACGTGGCAGGGAAGGTGTCTGTACGTGTCCTGACAGTCGCATGCAGCGTGAACATCTGTTGAAGCGGACAGTAGTGTTGACATGGCCCTGCCTGAAATTAAGGAGAGATTTTTGAATGTGACCGGCATGTTATTATACAATTGGAGGTAGAGGCGGATTCACCTTAGAACAAGGTGGGTCAGCCGTCTCCTAAAACTCAGAAATTCTCTATGAAAGAACAAGATGCTACCTTTTTAAAATCTGAGATGCCTAAGAAGTTGCCCATAATGAATAGACTCTATAGGTATTGGGTAGGGTAGCTGCTAACCTTATGACTTTGTACGCTTTGCTATGAGCATATTTAGATAGACGCACTTAAAATATGTTGGCATCTGGCTTCATGCCCACCCAATATCTATTGACATCAGTCGATATGCTCTTTCGAAAGCTGCTGGCATCTATTGACAGGCTGCAATACGACTTCGCAAATAACTTCAACATACCAAAGCTGGACGAAATGCAGATTTTCATGCCATACCGTCCAAAAAAATTTTGTGGCTCCTTATATTTGTTGAATCGGCCACTATTTGAAGGGGACATTTTTTTCAAGTGTCTATCCGATTGTACCATAACGTAATCCCTTTTATTTCGAGCGTAAAATCTCTCGAAATCAAGAGTTGTTTACGTACTTCAAGTTTTCATCTGTCATATTAGGGTTCTATGAGCTCGAATATCCCAAAGTTTACTAGAAAAGAACTCTCTAGTACGTCCAAAGTAATATATATATGCTTTGATATGTTTCGATGTTTTCTCGTATGCTCCGGAGTACTACTATATGAAATTGTAATCGTTAAGTTCTTGGTCAAGATATAATGATCTAGTTGTTAATCGAAATGTATAAAATACATCAAAACATAGCATAATTTTTGTATGTTTCATTGTTTTAATAGGTTTGTTGACATGGCCATGCCTGAAGATATTCGAGAGGATTTTCTGAAAGTGATAGGTAGAGAAGCACTATTTGGCTCATCGTATGTGGGGATTATCTCTATGCACTCATGTTTAACTGCCATAATTAACCCCTCCGAGAGTAAGAAGCTAAGTACTTATAAAAAGTAACAGCTAAGATGATGTCAGATAAAAACAAAAGATGATGTGCATCCCGAACAGAAGTTGAAATTGTCGGCATATTTGATCCGTAAGAGAGCCGTTGAAAAAGGGTCTCGAGCCATGCCTTGCATGTAGTACACGTGCCAGGCCGACAGGCCAAGCAACCGATACATGTCAATTAGGCACCAAGTTTAGCTTTGTGTAATCGATCAATACTCGAACACCTGGAAAATTGCCTTCAAGAACAAATATATGTGAGGCTTTGGCACTCATATAACAATCTCTCAACTCTTTCCCTTCTCTCTCTCTCTCTCTCTCTCTCTCTCTGGTGCGTTCCAATCTAAAACCTTATTTAACTCCCAGAAAAGGCATTCAGCCGTAGCAGAGCATTAATTGAAACTATGGCCTCCCTGATCAAACTTAGCTTCTTCTTCTTTGTGATTGCACATTCCTTAGTCTTGCTTGCTCCATTGGTGCAGAGTTCTGGTATGCTCTCTCTCTCATCTGTGTTCTTTTGCATGCAGACATGTTTGGCATAGCTTACTGTAAACAGGGTCTCGAGTTTGTCTAATTTAAGATATATATGAATGCAATTTTTGTTCTTGGTATGAATGCAATTTTTCAGTTTCTTGGTTACTCGCAATTAACCAAGGTTAAGGTGTGTTTTTCTTTTTCTCCTTGCATTTGATTACTTGCTATTTTCTAGTACAACTGATGAACTTAATCTGTCAAGATTGTTATAAAAAAGTATTAATGTTGTTGCGTCGCGGACTATGTGAGTGTATCGAGTCCAAATTACATATGCACCGATATTATCCCAGCTTAATCACTCAGACCTATGTGTATTAGAAAATAGCAACAAAGTAATATAAATTATTAACAATTAATAACCTAATTCTGATAAAAATCCAAGACTGGGCGTTAGATTGTGAATCTATGATTCACATATATCCTTGGAGATGGCATGCATGCATGTTTAGCAATTAAGTTAGTGATAGGACCATGGTTGTAGCATTTGGTATGATTTTGGAATTTCAGTGGCTAATTAACCATTTTCAAACTTACCATACCTATTTGCCTGCAGATAAGGATGAGGATAGCCTTCTCCAAGGCATAAACAGTTACAGAACCTCACTAAACCTGCCGGCCCTCGTCAAGAACGGTAACGCAGGTTGCCTAGCAGATAAAATTGCTGATGACATGGAAGACCAGCCTTGCAGCAGCCCCACCAATGGAGCCAACATTCTGGCAACCTCGCAGACTCCGCTCGCCAATCTTCCCAAGCACTTGGGAAAATGCAAAATCGACGCCAACAGCGCATCAGATGGAGTTATTCTCCCTGTTTGTGTGCCTAAGTTGGTCCCAACTCTGGTACTTACCAATTACACTCACCAACCGCAATTCGCAAAGTATCTGAACGATACGAAGTTCACGGGAGTTGGACTTGGATCCGAGGATGATTGGATGGTGGTGGTTTTGGCCTCAAATACCCCAACTGGAAGCTTTGCTAATGCAGCAAGCTCTTTAGTTTCAACCGTTGGTTTTGGTCATTTCTTGGTCTCCATTTTGGTAGCGTTGTGTGTTATTTTGGTCAGCTGAAGTGGTAGTTGAAAGTTTTTACTGCCCCCTCTCTCTGTTGTTATGTTGTACCAAAATATGTGACTTTTGTAGTTGTTAACTAGGGATTTCGATTGTATGTAATGCCTGAACTAATGAACTTTATGTTTTCATTTCATGCAATGATATTTGCATTACATATGTTATGCAATTGAGCCTTCTTTGTAGTTGATGGCTGATCTCAGGGTCTCGGTTCTTTTGACCTGCCTTGTGGGTTAAGAGAGAAAAGGCTACCATTGTAGTTCGACGATCAAGCAGCCTTTTATGTGTAGTTCGATTCACTTAATTTATTACCATCCTTTCACTTAAAACAATAATTTACCAAATGGAGAGTATCCTTGTAGCTTTGTACTTTGTGGTTTTCATATTGAAAAGTTAAGAAACTTTGCAAGGGTTTATAAGGAGTTCGGCACCCCATTGAATAATATGTGTTAGCACGCGTGCTCCACGTTACCAGTATACAATTACTACCTCACATTAGAAAGTTAATTTAGGAACATTGAAAAAGAATCGGGTCACTCTGTTCGAATGGATCCCTCCAACCTTTTTCATCTCAGGTAAAAACCATTTTCATCTCATCTCGGGTAAAAAGGAAATAGAAGTTAACCAGAACGTTCATTGTACTGTATAAGATTTGTCAACCAGAATTCTCTAGCAAAGAAATTGATGAACCAAAAGGAAAAGAGAACTGGAGAAACATCTCTATCCACTTCTCCAATTTAAGGAGAATAAGAATACCTTGGCAGCCAAGGAACCTTTCAAAAAAGCAAAGACGGAAACCCTAAAAGAATATTTGAACCCACAAGCCATCTTTTTATTCCTTCCCCCGGTGTATATTTTTATGCACCCTCTTCTTGTCACACAGCCATCGTCCTAGCACTAAAACAATGGCCTCCTCCAAACTACGCTTCTTTCTCTTTGTTCTTGTTCTTGGCTTACTCTTTCTTTCTCATCCAGTATTTTCGAACGGTACACTATCATCTTTCTCGCGTCTCAAAACTTCCGCTATATTTTCTTCTTAATTCGTTCCGAGTGTAATCATTTCTCTAACTTCTTATTTTCTTTGCAGATGAAGAAGACGATCTTTTCCAAGGCCTCAACAGCTTCAGGAAATCCGCAAACCTGCCGGAATTTAAGAAGAACGACGATGCAGCTTGTCTAGCTGATGAACTCGCCGACGAGCTAGAAGACCAACCGTGTTCTAGCGCACACTACATCATCGAGCCAGGCAACTTACCCAGGTTCCCGAGCTTCGAGAAGCTCGTTAAAAAGTGCCATATCGACATCAACACGACAACAGCCGCCATCATTTGGCCTGTTTGCGTGCCGGATTTGGACGAGGATCTTGTGCTCAACAACTACACTCACTCCCATTCCTCAAAATATCTGAATGATTCCAAGTATTCAGGAGTTGGGATTGGTTCTGAGGATGATTGGATAGTTGCTGTGTTGACCACCGACGCAGAAAGTGGAAGCTTTTCTGGAGGCGCTGCTTCTTTGGGTACAATCGGCATGTTTCAATATATGGCGGCTGTTTTGTTGGGGTTGTTTTTGGTTTTAATGTGCTGAATTGGTATTCTATTTTCTATTTTATTGTGTTGGAAAAAGTAAGGTGATTATTTTTTCCCTTTGATCTTTACACATAATATCTTAATAATAATGTGCTACACCTCCTCTCTTTTTTTCTTTAAATGAATAACTACTGGCTTCGTCAAAATATTATATCTTTTTAGAAACCAAAAATAGTTACAGAGACATTTCAGTCACCTTTCATCTATCATCGTATAATTCACGAATGTCAGGAATCTAATCCACGACGTGCCATGTACAACAACTCCTCTTTATTTCGTTTAAATTATTTGTTGGTGCCATTTATTTCTCAATTTTCAAACTTTTAATGGGTGAAAATGACTCTGAAAAGAACAAAACGCAAAGCTTGATCTTATACTTGTTAATCTATTGAGACAGAGTTTTTTTTTATTTGCCTTTAAAGTTTCTCTAATTTTACAAGACTGGTGTTCAATTCTCAACTACGGTAATTTACCGTTCTATGCTTTCCTTGTGATAGTTTCAATTTCTCAATTAAATTTGATTTTTGTCATCCTTAAATAAAGTCTGATATTAAAGAGAATGAATATATGGTAGTGCAAAACTATCCATGCCCAAACATTTCAGAAACCATAACTGCGTGATGAAAAATAGTGACGACGCCGACGGAGTAGAGAGGTAAGTGGGTTACATGAAGTAAGATTCTATTCCTCCCTAATTCCTATTTCTTTTTCTCTTTCCTATTTGAACAGTTAAGATTACGTCATATTAATATTTTGTGTTGACTTTTACAAATAGAAAAAGACAATGAGGAAAGTGTGAAAGAAGGGAAGAAAAGTGGAGGAGATTAAGAGGGAAATAATCATACTCTAGCTTCGGGAAGGTGGGTCAGCTGGGATTAGAGAAGGGTGATCGTTGTGGGATGGGTGGGTTCAGTCTTTAAATTTTTTTCCCGATATTGTTGATATTCTCGTGAATTCAAAAAATCAAGAAAGATATGAAAAAGGGGTGAAGTCTAAACTTTACCTCAAATTGTCGATATTTCTAATACGTGTTTGATAAATCCTAAAGTTTCATCATTTCCATTGAAAGCAACCGATATCATTAACAATGATATTCGATATATTCGTCAATATTTTCACAAATTTACATATCAATATATCCATTGATAACGATATTTTAACACTGGGTGTGAGTTGTGGGTTGACTGGGTTATGGGTTGGGTGGTATTTATTTGCTTATTTTTAATTTGAATTTTTATTTTTCTAATCTTATTTTATTTATTTTTTATTTTAAGTGCCCCTAAGTTAATGGAGTTTTGGATGAAATGTAGATAAATTTAGCAGCAAGAGAGAATTTAGCTGTAAATCAAAATTCAATGAGGTAATTCACCGAAATTAAAATTCACCAATAAAACAAATTCTGGAACTCTTTTATTAAGATCACCGGATCAAATGATTCGGATTCTTAAAATTTGATTTAACGCTTAAAGTTATTATAATTTTTAAATGATTCTTATTTTTAGCTGTTGGATCAAATTTTAAAAATTCAGATCACTTGACATGGTGATCGTGGTGAAATAAATACAGAAATGATCTTTTTCCAAACAAATCAAGCTGAGCTTAGCTGGATTGGGTCCTGGTCCACGTCATACTCCCACATGCAACAACGAGATCTGAACCAGCGCAAAACGGAACATCCCTCCATAGACGCACAGAAGCACAGAGAGAGGCCCACACACAGAGCTTCAAAGCCCTCATAGCCATGGCGGAGGTCGACGACGCCGGGGGCTTCGGAGTCTTCAAGTTCTTCACCGCCGTCGATCCCAAGCCCAAGATCAACGGACGAGATTCGACCGTCTCGGACGACGATTGGGGCGACTTCGTAACGGACAGCACGAGTCAGATCAAAGCTCAGGCCTTGCCTTCCAATGGAATCACGTACTCCCAGTCACCTCCCTCCCAAATACCCGTCGACCCTTCGGGGTTTTGCGTTCCTAATGGGTCGGCGCCGACCCGAATGGAATCAGAGCCAATCCGAGTTGAGACTGAGCCCGCGAAGGTTGATAAGACTCGGTGGGTAAAGCCGCAGGGAGCTTTGCCGTTATCGTTATTTGGGGAAGAGCAGGAAGAGGACTCCGGTGCGGGCGAGTCCAAGGTTGGGGACGTTGCAAACGAAGGATTTGCGAAAAAGGAGTCGAATTTGAATGTGAGAAGTGTTGGGATCGATGATTTGATTTCAAACTTGTACGGTCATAATCCAAAAGTCGTGGTTCGAAATGGGTCGGATTCGAATTTCGGTCCCGGAGGTCCCAATTCAACAAAAAAGGGGTTGGATTTCAGTGCAAATGGGATGGATTTGAAGTTTGATGCTCCCATTCCGAACGGAAATGGGAAATTTGGTAGTTTGAATTTTGGTTCGAATAGTTTTGATTTGAAGTTTGATGATGTGGGTTCGAATTCAAATACAAGTGTGTCAAATTCGGGTTCTGGTGGTCCTCATACGGTAAAAAACGGATTGAATTTCAGTGCAGATGCATTGGATTTGAAGCTTGATGCTCTGGTTCCGAAAGAAAATGGGACATTGGGTGGCTTGAATTTGGATTCGAATGGTTTTGATTTGAAATTTGATGGGGTAGATTCGAATTCAAATACACATGGGTTAAAGTTGGATTTGGAGGAAGGAAATGGGGACTTTGATGAGGAGGATGATGATGGTTGGGAATTCAAAGCTGCGGATTTGAAGGTAAAAGTTGTTTTCTTTGGTGATTTGATGATCTTGTTTATTAAGTCTGGACTCTGTTTGGTTGCTGAGAAAACTGAAGTGAGAAAAAAATTAGAACTTCCCTCTCTCTGGTTTGAAATGCGTACTGAATTCTAGGCGGATTAGTGAACAATTCGACTGGATTTTTAGTTTTCTTATAAGCATTGATGAAGATTACATGGAGCATTGGAAAAACTATGATCTTTGCATTTGGTACTGTTTGTTCATTTTACTCATTGCTTTAATTTTATTCTTCATATCAGGAACAAGGGGTTGTGGAAGTAGCAGGATCGAAAGCGGAATCAAATGCACACGCACGACCAGGAATCCAGGCGGGTATTGTTTATTGTTGCATGTCTTCATTGTCTTGTTTAGGTGTAGTTTTTGTGTCTCACCATGGAACTTCTCTTTGAAAAGCAGAACTTACTATTTCAATCACCCTCTGTTTCTCTGTTGTGATTTTTCATTTGCACACTCAAATAGGGGACTTAGATTTTCTATCTAAATCGAATACTATAGCATGCCATTGGACTTTTAAAAAAAAAATGCCTGTTCATTTGGTTCACCGAGTCTGACATTTCTCATTTTGAAGGTTGATGAGAAGTGGCAAGCAAATACTGGAGGAAGTGGATTTAGTGAGGGGTTTTCATTTGATTTCAACCCAAAGCCTGTTACTCAGCATAATTTTTTCTTCGACCCACTTTCGAAAAGCAAGCAGAACAGTGCTGCAGATGTACCCAATTCTACTCCAGTTAATGGAAATCTGTGGGAGTTCAAGGATGCATTTTCAGAAACTGGAGCAAAACATAAGTTGGTGAGTCAGTTTTTTTTTTTTTTTTGGTATTTCTGATCTGGTTGGCTGAAATGTTGACTATCAAAGAGTGACTTAAATTTTGGTTGTAGGAAGAGGCAAAGGCTGCCAATCCTGCTGGTTTTGGCGCCCGTGCTCATAATGATTTTTTTGCTGCATTTCAAGGGGATTCCCACAAGTCTGGAGAAAACTTTGCATTTCCTTTTATCCCGACTTCTAGCATGAAACATGGTGTAATCTCAGATTCACATTCCAGTGGCAAGAAAGAGGACATTGAAAAAGAGTTGAGTAGTTCTCCAGATGTTAGGTCTGATGACAATTTTTGGGAATTGAACTATGCATTTTCCGAATCTGGATCAAAGATTGAGGTAGATGATTCAGTCTGACTTTGATTTGTATTTATATGCATGTTTTTTCATTTACATTAGAAACTTTTGAGGAACTGGAATAGACTTATATTAATTTTGGGTGTAGGGGGAGTTAGTGGTTGGCAGTAATCCTCCCGCCAATATAAAACCATCTGTCATGGGTTTTGAAATCCAGGTACTCACGTCACTCCTGATCTTTCTTTTATTGACACAATCCTATATGTTTTTAAGATATTTATTTTGTTTTGCTTATCATCTGTAGTTGTTCACTTTAAATAATTTGGAGACAGAGAAAAATTCAACTGTCGCATGTTCTTGAATCATCTAAGTTAGCAACTTTACCATCTTGGTGTTAATGTCGTTGAATTAGTATACTCTAGAATTCCTCGGTCTAGCTCGTTTTTGCCTCATCAATGCTTAAGCTCTCATTAACAAATTGACAATTGTGCTTGTGGTGTTGAAGTTTTTTGTTCATTTATGCTCTATGAGCAAATGCTCCATACTAATTTTCAATTGTTTTCCCTTCTATTTTACAGCATAATGAGGTAACATTGGAAAATCATCGACGAGCCTTGCCCTTGTCCATTTTTGGAGATGATGAACTAGAGACTGATGATTCCTCAATTCAACAAAATATTTCTTCTCTTACCACTGCATCCCACCAAATAAATACCAACAAAAGCCCTGCGTCCAATCTATCCATCACGGATCTAATATCAAGCTTATACAGTCAAGTGGACCAGAATACTAACACAATTCATGCGCCAAAACCAACTGAAAATATTATGGATCCTGCCCCAACTGTTTTGGAATCTAATTTTGGTGGTGATGATTTTGATGAAGATTCTTGGGAATTTAAGGATGCTGTTTCAAGTGATCAAAACCAAACCTCTATTGCTACTCTTGAAGATTCACCTCACGATTCTTCTACTAAAGTCCATCTAGATAATTATGTGGATTTATATTGCAAATTGAAGGATGAAACATACGGTCTTGCACTCTACCATCTTGAAAATAAAAAGGTTAGTAATTTACTCAGACAAACTTTCTGTTACGAAATTTTAACAGTATTAAGTATATGAAATGTGCATTTTTTCAGAAAGCTCAAAGTGGTGCTACTGTTTCTGGTGAAGATACAACAATAGAGACTATGGAAGAGGAAATCCAGGTTTGTGCTTTAAATGGTCATTTTTTTTTTCCTTTTTTTTTTTTTGTTACCATGTCTTATGCAGATATGCCTAGGTAAAACTGAATTGACATGTTAGCTAATTGGTCTTATAGCATTTTCAATGGACTTGGTTTTTGAATGAATGGTTTTGTTATGTTTGTAATTTTGTAATAACTTCTTGTTGTAGCTTTTGTATAATAAGTTTCATTAGAGGATTACATGGACTTTTTAACTTCTTGTATGGCTTTATAATACTTCTTTTGTGTTTGGACTATCTTGAGAATCATCATGTGTGAATAGCATTAAGTGTGAAAATCAGGAACTAACGTTGGTGGATTTCATATTTCTGTTAAATAATTGAATATTCGGCTTAATAATTAACTCAATTATTTTTTGTTTGAGATTTGAAACATTCTTACAGAGACCAATTGATATGAGTATATGATGGTGCTTAAGTCAGTAGTTTTGTGGGGCTTAACACTTTGTAAGTTAGTTTTTCCTAACTTCTTATGGTCTCTTGTTATAGAAATTGTATAATGAACTGCATCAACACAATATGATCTCCGATCAATTCCAGTCAGGGAATCTTTCATCAAGAAATACACACATTCAAGAAGTTCGTAAACTTCTACAGGATCCAAAGTTCCAAGTTCTTGAATCCAAATACCAGTTGTCACAAAGGTTGTCATTGGTATGTATCTTTGCATTGATACGATGTAATGAAAACTTTTGTTATAACGTGGACTTTGCTTGACACTGCTTATACTTTGGCTTTAATAGGCAGAGAATGATTTGAGATCTGCCGTTGAACTTTCAAGACATGCAGCATCCACGTTAAGGATTCTTAGATTGGGATCAACTGAGCAACAATCTAACTACATTTCCACCTGGTCTCGAATCGTCTCCTTTTGCGCTGAAGAGTTGAAACATGGTTCTCTAATTTGGAGGCAAACATTAGAAGCGAATGTTCAGAATCAAATACTATCTGAACCTCAAGGTACCCCATAAAAAATTGTTGTTGATGGATTTCATAGTTTATGTTACTTCTCAAATTTTCTGATTAATTTTTTGTTTTTATCTTTTGTGGAAACACAGGCAAGCAGTATATCGTTGCCCTTGGAGAAATTTACAGAGTAGTTTTAGTTCTTGAAGCATCTGCCAAACTTTACGAGTCATGGATTCTATTACATTCTTCATACTGTTTTACCTTTTTTTCTCTTCTAAACGAGTGCTCTACTTTATGGTCAAGTTCGGGACTTGATGAAGCTCTCAAGAGCATTTCGGATGCGATTGATTTTAAATATGATGAGACCGTTGCTGCACTACTAGATTCCATGACATACATTCATCATCTGGATGCATTTGCTCTCCAAAACCAAGTTGTTGTTAATGGCCAAGAACCTATTTGCTCGCTGTCACTATTAACTGCAGGAACCGTGCCAGGTATGCAGAAGTTGATTTTAATCACCAATGTCATTTCATTACACCTGGCCATGCGATGAATCTCTCTCAACTCTTTTGGTGCTTGCATCGTACATGTCCAGTAAACTTTTGTCCAGTTTAACGATCCTTACCAGACACCACACAACACTAAATTCTTTGTTGCTCTCATTAAGATTTGATTATTTGAGTCAAACTAGTAACATTGTGGAAAATTTCTAAATATTTAGAGATACTTTAGTGAGTTTGAAGTAGTCCCTTTTCAGCTTACCTTTTGTGCAGCGTTAGTATGTTGAAACTGTTGGTAGTTTGGTCTTTACTCTTTTGGGTGATAAACTAGGATACCTGATATGCATACTTGATTTACGTCACCTAGTAAACTCGGTCCTTCTTCTCTCAAGAATAGTGTCATAACACTATTAGCAGTATAGGCGCATCCGCTCACAAGTAAATGTGCAAGCAACATATTACATCTTCACATCTGAAATCCTCCCTATATTTTCATATTCATCTCGAACCTATGTTTTGTGTTTCTACTCTTTTAATGTATATGTTTTGCGTTTCTGCCCTTTGAACATATATGTTTTGTGTTTCTGCTCTTTTAATGTATTAGTTGGTTTGTATGTTTCAGGTATTAAAATGGTGATGTGGAATGGGGAAAACTACTTATTGACGCTTGCGAACTTGTGGGCAAATTTAATTAGTCCTAATCCTCCAGAATTGCCCCACTTGAGTTATAGCTGATCGCAAAATCATGCTGGAGGAATATGAGGACTTTTGACATGCTCTGTCGCTGAAAATAGCCGCTAAATCACTCTGTTCTCTCTAGAATGTGCCTTTGCCGGACTGAAAAAGCATGACGATCATTCAGAAAGAACGGTAGTGGCTTCCCAACAACACAATTAGGAAGAAATCTGAACCGAAAGACACTAGGCTGCTCAGTTTGATCCAACCAAACCGTTATCTGATTCTTGTGTTTCAAGCTTGCCATTCATTTTTGTGTAGCTATTGTACGATAGTGATTCGATGTAGAAATTGTTTTGTATCTGTGTGTACTTGTGTTTCCGAAGGTAAAACCGGGTGAATAAGGAAAGCATCCTAAAGCCCGGTTTTAGAATTTTGAAACGAGGAAGAAAAATAGGATGTTACACATGTAGGTGCATAATGGAAATAGAACTTTTTTGTGGTGTAGTACTTAATAATATACTTTGTATTGTGTTTATGGAAAAGGATCCTCTTGTGATCGTTTATCATATATCGTGCGATCAGTTTTCGTTAGGTATTATTTATATTTAATTTAAAATTTAAAATCTAAAATGAATTTTGACCGCACGATGTAAGATGAACGGTCATGATCATGGGATCTCTCGGATCCCAAGGAAAAGGATTCGGCGATGATCCTTTTCCTGTTTTTATAACATGGATGAGCTAAAAGGTTATATACTTTGTACTGTGTTTATAACATGGATGAGCTACAAGGTTGATACATCCTCAACTTATAATATATATAATTAATATATACACACGTATGCATGAGTGAAACTGTAACATCACATAACAATTTTTTTTAGGGTCGAAGAGCAGGCCTTATACACACACAAATCGATCCCCAATATAAAGTGAGGCTTGTTTATTGATTTGTCTTACGAAATTACCATTTAGTCTCACTTTGTTATTTGAATCTGTCAAAATTGTGTCATTTCATTATATTAACGTTCACGTTGGCTCATCTTTGCTAGCATGGTACAAAATGTCCAAACTGTCTTTTCATTTAATTTTCATGAGGTACAATTGACAAAAATAGGGTAAGGTGACTCAATTTTGACAATTTCAATGGAATAAGTGAGATAAATCATGTTTAAAGGGATAAAATGAGACTAAAAATCAATTCCAAAAGATAACTAAATAAACCTGTAAAGTAATAACTACTACCTCACGGTCCTGTGAAAAAAAAAAAAGAAGCGTCAAATGCAACCAGTCGTACATAAGAACTTGCCGTATTTTAAACTAAAACTTAAAAATAACCAAACAATGTTACGCAGAAAATTTATAAACCAACCAGGGTAATGCAAAAAACCTAAAACACGTGACGTAAGATTGTTATTCCAAAATGAAATGGTTGGAGAATTTGACCATCTTGTCGGAAATGTTCTAACTAATACCGAGGTATTTTATGGTAAAACACCACACCGGACGAATTGGGCATGTGGTTAAGTTTGGGACGGAAGATGGTTAAGTTTGAGATAGTATTAATGTTGTTAGACTGGGGCGGGAGCTTATGTGCAAGCCAATAAGTTTGTCACCCATAAAGAAACAAGTCTGAACTCTTAATATAGAAACGACCGTTGAGTTCCATTAAAAACAAGTGGGCCCAACGTGAGCCGAAACGTGAGTCAACCTCTGAATTTCAATTACCGATATGTGCATCTCCACGTGTGAACCATTAAATCCCAGCTCAAAGTAGCGTGTGAGCAGAAAACAAAGTTGTGGCTGCTGAAGGATGGAACCGAAGACCCGGTTGAGGTCTTTTCGTTGAGAGCTTGCTCTTGGAAAAGGATTGAAGCCCCTTCCACATTACCCATGGTGTCGAGGGGAGCTCTTCGGGTGCAGGGATGCAGACAATCTTGACGAGGATGTGGTTTTTAGCGGGCAATATACGCTCTTTGGGATTAACTCGAGTGTGAATGTGACTGAATATGTTGAGAGTCTGCGTCTGCTCGTCCAACATTTCGGATGAACCACCGCCTCAGGTTCCTGTGAAAGCCGCTCGCACTAAATTCACTCTATGGAAATCACTATTTCGTTCGGTCCTCAAGAAATTAAAGAGTACAAGGGTTGATAGACAGAACTGCGATCTTTCCACCTGTTTTCCTGTTTGTTAACAACGACCTATATCTCACACTTTGGATGATCATGGAGAAAGGTTTTGTCTATGTTTCTCGTTTTCATTTCGATTGAGCACAAACTGATCCTGCCTCTGTGGATGAAAGACACGGCCACTTAACCGGATGTCTTTCTCGAATTCTTAACAATGAAGAAGTATCACATGAGAATTCATACGAGGAAGTGCATCCAGCATACCAACGGCTGGGAGTAGGGTACGTAGTGTAGGATCAATGACATGGCAGGTTGATAGTTTTGTAATTTAGTTTTACAACTGAGTCTGTTGTGCAGTCAGGATTTATACGTCTACGATTTAGTACAATTTAATGTTGTTGATAATGTGCGGTTACTGCAGTATTTACCGAATTCTCTTTGTTATGCAACAAATGTACTTCGGTTAAATTGACCCAAAACAGTACGTTTTTATACGATTTATTTAAAGCTTTTGATAATGTGGGTTTCTGAAGACTAGGAGTTGGTTACCTAAGGAATCGATGAACAATGAGGACGGTATGAATCCATTTTGATTACAATGCAAAATTATTTAGCCTCTTCAGACATAGAAAGCGATAACTATCTTGTTTGGTACGTAGGATTAAGTTTGCGCTTCGGTGATTCTTAAGGGTTTGGGCATCTTCTGTTATGGTGCAGTAGCTATCGGAATTGTTGCAGTTGACACGAATGTCTAATCTGAGCGCCCGTTTGATAATTTGTATCAGCAAACCATTAGCTCTGGTTTTTGTTCGTGACTTGAAGGCCAGTGAAGGCAAGTTGACTGTAAGTGTTTCTCAGTTCTTCATGACAAATAGAAAAAAAATCGTGTCCGTGTATTAGATCACCAAATTTTCTTAAACTGATTGGTGCATCTGTTTAATTGTTGAAAATTTTGAAAAGAGTGACAAGAAGTCTTAGGGGGACCATGGACACTTGAGGCCTGTACATAAGTACATTGCTCCGCCCCTGCAATCAGAGCGAAATCTGTAAAATCTTGTTCAGCTTCTCGGGGTTGCAGAGTTTGAGAAAGGTATTGAGTCCGCATTGATTTCAAGTTTATGAGGTTCAAACAAGCCTGGAAATTTATGGTACGGCGTGTTTCTTTTCTTAATCTGGCTCGTATCACGTTAACCTGTTTCCAACTCAGTCTGTTTAAGATATGTAGGCGGTAAGGTGGCAGCAGGTAGAGGTCGGTACCTGACAGAGGATGGTGCATTCCTTGAAAAAGGTCCGACCAATTTCGATATTCATTTTCTTAAGGAAATGCGAAATATAAGGTAATGCAGACGCCATTTCTTATGAGAAAAAAATCTGATGCAAAGGTGTGCTCAATTAGCACAATTCGACGAGGAAGTTTACAAGGTAATGTTGGTAGCTATTGCTGATTTTTCGCTATGCAGCCACTAGTTTGTGTTCATTTACTAGACGGGATTTGTTTTTGTATCAGTTTTCTGCGTTTTGTCTCCTAATGTCAGCAACTGACATAAGATCAATTGGTATCGAACAGGTAAGCACTGAAGGAGACACAAGTATCTCGTTGCTACACCTGAACAGCCTCTTTCTGCATATCACGGAGTGGATTGGATCCATCCGTCTCAACTACCGATAAGGTTGTAAATTCCCTTTGGAAATTCTAGCTACAAAATAATGGTTTTCGATTTTTACTCATGAATTTATTGGATCATTTTTCTCAGATATGATGGAGACTCGTTCTGTTTCCTCAAGGAAGCTGGCGCACATGGGCGACACTTGGGTATTTTTCGTGTCCATCAGTTTGTGCAAGTTGAACAATTCTGTATCACCAGCCCGAATGATGACGACTCGTGGAACATGCACGAGGAAATGATCAAAAGCTCCGAGGACTTCTGTATGAGTGTCGTAACCGTTGCATTTCTTGAAAGATCATTGTGGTTGGAAATATATGATTAGTGACCAAGTGACTTTTTCTAAGCTTGTTTAATCCGAATTTTGTGACGTTCAGCTAAGGATCCCCTACCAAGCCATGTCCATAGTTTCGAATGCTCTGAATGGCTTCCGACATCTTAGACATACAGAGAGCTGGTGTCATGTTCAAACCGCAGAGACTACCTGAAGATCAGAAATTCGATACGGGCGCCAAAATGGTACTAATTAAGTAATGTGACATGCACTTACATTTCTCTAATTTCGCAGGCAATCAAAGATTCAATCGGGTTAGAAAACAGTGATGAGAAAACTTTGTTGTGTTGCAGAACAACAAAGAAACAAAGCAATACGTTCACTTGTTGAACTCAACTCTTACAGCAGCCGAGAGAACTGTTTGCTGCATTCTCCAGAACTACCAGAGGGAAGATGGTGTGGGGATACCAGAAGTTTTTACAGCCGTACATGCATGGAAACACATTCCTCCCTTTCAAGAACAAACTTCCCCTCAATCTCAAGCCAAAGGGAAGGGAATCGAGAAATCGAAAAGGGCCTAAAGTCGCCGGTTTGTGTAGACTTTCCTTGGTGAAAGGTGGGTTCTTGCATACAGAGTGATAATAATTTATAGTGAAACTTTTAAGAAATTTCGAAATTCAAATTCCTCCATTTTTATACCAGCGTTATTTTGCCTTAAACCAGTCTAAATTGCGAAGCAGGAGATTTGAATTGGCTTTTATCATGCATGACTTGCTCCATAATGTGAAAATTATTTCGTGTTAACATCATACCATATGCGTGATGTTGTGTTACTTTTGTATGAGAAAAATGAACATGAAACATACATTTAGAAAAGAGATAAAAGAAGTTGAGAGGTAAGTTTTAGCGGCCATGATTACATGAGCAATAATTGAATTCGCAATCACCGGAGTGATAGCTCCCATTTGAATTGAGCTATCTTTCTTCCAACCACACTGAGATATTGAGGGAAACTAAAAAATTTACGTTCATTTTACAAATGAAATGAACCACTTACATCTTCAAATGCATGTCGTTAAACTTGGCCACCATACCTCTTATACGGTTCAAGTCCAACTTATTATAGTCTCCATTTACGAGCTCATCGTGGACCGAATTCTTGAAAGTAGGAGAAGGTGGGTTTGTACGAGCATTGAGGCTTGACCTACCTTACTTTTATCGTGACATCTTAGTTTTCGTGAACATTTCACAAATTACCCAGGCAACATGAGAATCTTCTACAAATTATTTTCAAAATATCTCTCTCAAATTTGTTATGAACAATGGAGCCAACAAATGATGTCTTCATGATAAAATTCAGTAGTGTTGTAAAGATAATGTTTTTCAACAACATATGTACAAGATAACCAAGAATATGTGATATATTACTTTTTATTTTATAGTTTTGAAAAAAAAAAAAAAACAATTTAAAATCCATTTTGGCCTTTTGAATTTTACTTGGTGTATGGAGGTGAGTGTAGAATGTATGGATAGATCTCAATCCCACAAGTTTGTTGGTGCAAATAACGTCCAATTCAGAGTTAGAACGAAAAAGTTAGAAATTTTTAAATTCAAAGAGCATTGTGAACATTCTGACTAAAAGTTAGTATAAATATAAGTTTAATTGTGCTCCAAAGAAAAAAAAAAAAAAAAAAAAAAAAAAAGAAAAGGGTTTCCGCACTAAAGTTAAAGGTTTATTTTCGAACCAGATCCCATGTATTAAAGAAAAACACTTTCAGCCGTTAGTGAATAAAATCTCCAAACAGACCCCAACAGGAAAAAAAAAAAAAAAAAAAAAAAGAGGTGAGGGCGCGAGGGAGGCCGATAAAAATCGGGTCGAAGATATGGCCATGGGAAATCGGGGCGGAAATCCGAATCATCGACCCAAAATAGGGAAAATCAAATAAAATATAAGCAGGGTTTTGGGGATCACTTCCACTCAGTAAGGATTAGCGTTTCTTGTGCGTTGTTCTTCAGCAAGCATCCAACTTTTTCCGATTCCAAACTTCAATCCGCAGTCGCTCGCTCACTCTCGCAGCCGGAATAAGAGAAAGATGCTGGACATCAATCTGTTCAGAGAGGAGAAGGGCCACAACCCCGAAATAATCCGGGAATCTCAACGGCGACGTTTCAAAGGCGTCGAGATCGTCGACGAGGTCATCCAGCTCGACAAAGAATGGCGCCAGCGTAATCCCCATCTCTTTCAATCCATTTCTCTACGTAAAAGCTTGAGTTTCTCGTGAGCTTTGAGATTTATTTTGAATGAATTAATTAGGATTAAAGTATTGATTCTCGTGGTGAAATGATGAATTTTTAGGTCAATTCGAGCTTGAGAGCATTCGGAAAGAGTTCAACAAGATCAACAAGCGAGTTGCTCAGCTGAGGATTGTGAGTATTTGTTTTTTTTTATTTTTCCTATTTGAATGTTATCTTGATGATCGGTTGTTTTCCGAAAATACATCCTTAAGGTTATTAAATCCTGAATTTTTGGATTGTACATGTTTAGAAACTCAGAACAACTTGTGAAACTCATATTTGCGAAACAATTACCAAAAGATAATAATTACTTGGCACCGTTAGGTTAGAATTTGTTCTCAGGTCACTGACTTTGAAAAATATGTTCAATTGGTTTTGTAATGGATGAGGAAGTTGGTTAACGAGGGTCGGTGTGGTTGCATGGAATTGCGGTGGTGATTTTGATGCTTACTTGAGTGTTTATATTATTGTGTCTACTACTGAACTTGTAAGCATATGGTTGTAAAGCAGGCCCCTTTGCATATACAGATATTAGACTCTGGAAATTTGATTGAGAATGTTTTCCCGATTCTAGAAACCTAGTTCATTAAAACATTGAATAAGATTTTTTATTCCCTCTCTCTCTTAAAAATAAGAACAGATTCTTATAAGGCCATCAAGTGCATTTTGACTGAATTTGTTTTCTTTAAGTATGTATGTTTCTATTTTGAAATATTGGTTGTGTGATTCATGGACTGAATGTTAAAGAATTTCTGGATTAACAGGCAGGAGAGGATGCAACTGAGGTGATTAAGGACACAGAGGAAAATAAAAGGTTGGCAGCAGAGAAAGAAGTTGAAGTGCGAGAAGCTTTAACACAGTTGAATTCAAAACTGGAAATCATTGGAAACCTTGTGCATGATTCGGTTCCCTTTAGCAATGATGAGGTAATGTTGGGTACATTGATTTTTCTTTTGCTATGGGTCTATGTAATTGTTATTTTTATATGTTGTGTTTTTATGTATTTTAGGAAAATAATGCTGTGATTAGATCATGGGGTGACAAACGAGTGGAGCCAAAACTCAAAAATCATGTTGAACTTGTTGAGCTTCTTGGGATTGCAGACTTGAAGAAAGGTATTGAGTTCTCTCTGTTTCTGGGTCTATGGGTTTTGAAAGAATTGGAAAGTTCTGGATGATTTTAAATTTTTACTTAATATGACATGTATATTCTGTAGATTTGCCTAGTTCCAAACTAGCCTGTTTTTAACTCAATCTGCTTAAAATGTATAGGCGCTGAAGTGGCAGGAGGTAGAGGTTTTTACCTGAAGGGTGCTGGTGTGCGCCTTAATCAAGCTCTGATAAACTTTGGTCTTGATTTTCTTGAGGAAAGGGGATATACAGAACTGCATACCCCATTTTTCATGAGAAAAGATATCATGGGAAAGTGTGCTCAATTAGCACAATTTGATGAGGAACTTTACAAGGTAACGTTTGGTAATATTTGCCAATAGTTTTTGTTTTATAGGACCATATAGAGTTGGCACCCAAGCTTTTTGTTGTATTTGTGAAATTTTAACTTACAAATATATGGGTTTTTTTTTGTGTTAACTTGTCAAGATACTAGAATTGGTTCGTGTTGCGGATGTTTTTCATTCTAAATTTTTAATGATCCATTGAAATCATATATTTAAGGTGATGGCAAGTATATTTCATTCTACATTTGGTTTGCCTAACGTGAGGATGACTTTAATTTATTTTTGTGGAACAGGTTACCGGTGAAGGTGATGACAAATATCTGATTGCTACATCTGAACAGCCACTTTGTGCATATCATATAGACGATTGGATCCATCCATCCCAGTTACCCTTAAGGTAGTAACATTTTGTTGGAAAATTTATGTATAAAAGATGATATTTGTATTCCGTTCATTAATTTTTTTGGTTTTTTTTTCTCAGATATGCGGGATATTCATCTTGTTTTCGTAAAGAAGCTGGTTCACACGGTCGAGATACCTTGGGAATTTTTAGGGTCCATCAGTTTGAGAAAGTTGAACAGTTCTGTATTACAACCCCAAATGGCAATGACTCTTGGGAAATGCACGAGGAAATGATAAAAAACTCTGAGGAATTTTATCAAGCGGTATAACCTTTTCCCTTTAGAACTTATTTCCTTTTCATACTTTTGCTTTTTTGATCAAGTTTGGGAATGATGATTTAGTGACCGGGTGACTTTGGAATGCCAAATGGCATCTGTAGCACATACCCCATGTTTAAGTTTACGTTTATTCTACTTTTGGGAGGAAAATATTTGAATTGCATGGTTGCCAATGTATTGGTTGAGAGATTGATGCAGATACGCCTGCTTCTTGTACACCGAAGTTGGATGCCTTTTTATGGATCTGATTAATGTAGATGAACATCTTCTGTTTAGTAGTGTCATTTCTAGGTATGATGTTTTGAATTTTGTCACTTTCAGTTAGGGCTCCCCTATCGTATTGTGTCCATCGTTTCTGGTGCTTTGAATGATGCCGCAGCAAAGAAGTATGATCTGGAAGGATGGTTTCCTGCGTCTCAGACATATAGAGAGCTGGTTTCTTGTTCAAACTGTACGGACTACCAGTCAAGAAAGTTAGAAATTCGATATGGGCAGAAAAAGGTAGGTTAAATCTTACATTTATCACATATTTCTGATTACTGCGGACTGTACTTCTAATTAACGTAAAGATTGATTTGTGTGCCTCAGAAATTTAATTAGAAAAAAGATAACCGCTTACTTTTACCGTAGGTCATATACCATTGAACTGTATGCTCTGATCAAATTTAGGAAATACTCTGTTCATATGGTGTTAATTGAACGTAGAATGTATTGTTGTTACCTATTGAAATATTATTTTCACTCGAGCCTTCGTGCTTTTACAGGGCAACGAGCAGACAAAGCAATATGTTCACTTATTGAACTCAACTCTTACTGCGACAGAGAGAACCATGTGCTGCATTCTCGAGAACTACCAGACCGAAGAGGGTGTAAATGTACCAAAAGTTCTTCAACCTTTCATGGGTGGAAAGGAGTTCCTACCGTTCAAGGAGAAACCGGTCCCTGAAGTCAAAGGGAAGAAATCGAAGGCCTAAAATTCATAATTTTTATAGTCTTTAATCAAGAATAGATTAACAAGAGTAGTTCTGGATATATCGCGTGCGTAAACTCTTCTACTGATTGTTCCGAGAAACTCTGAAACCCAAAGTCCATGTCTTGATGTAATGAATTAAATGTACTTAGAGCTTGTTTACCTTCTGATTTCTGATATGCATAGTTCTATCTGATAAGGCGTATGCTTGACCCGCAAGAAACTTTGATTACATAATGTTTTACGAGTTAATTTACGGAGAGTTTTACTTCGAACATTGGGAGGGTAAATTGTTGATACATTCTGCAGTCACATTGTCCCCTTTCTGAAAGAAATCTATTTGTTCTTCTGCAGGGTTCGCCACCCCGTTCGTTTGATGGGTTGTCAAGAATTCGCGTCATCGTCGATCCTCAAAGTGTTTGAAAACCCGTTCTTCAACTTTGTCCGGGGGTTTGGGTTAAAAAAATTGACCATGATGTTGAAATGACATGAAATCAACTTTCTTTTCCAGTCACTTTTTACCCTAAGCTTTGATTTTGAGCTCACAAATTTGAAATTTTGCGTTGTATGGGATAAATCTTGGAAACTTAGTGAAGCTTCAATCTTTTTAGATGAAACGGTGGCGCTTTATTGAAACATTAAGTAGCGAGACATTCTGGAGTAATGTAGAGAGATTAAGTTTTGTAAACTAAATAACTTAGAAATTGATGATTGGATTATTACTTAAACGGTGATAAACGTATTCATTTCTTATTGGTGACACATAATTTAATTTATAATTTTAATTTATAAATTTAGTCTTGATAACATTATTCTACATTCTAATACAACGTATTGGAGAAAATCCGGAGCTTCTTCGAACCAAAAGTACTCGTGATCAGAATGTTGGATCCCGTCGAACCTTGGCTACTGCACAAATCCTAGCATATAAGCCAGTTGGAGGCTTAAGTCACCACCAATGTAAAACTGACACATGGGCCAATCACCAATGTAAAACTGACACATGTACCAATCAATCATCACAGCTCCTCCACGAATTGAAGGTGAGGCCGAATCCGGATCCTCTCTCCAGATCGTCTTTGTGTAGATCTCGGAAATTCGTGAATCGTATTCGTTCATCGTACATTGCGCAGTCAGAAATTACTTTAAATTTTTTTTATTTAAAATTGAACACAAACAATACTTGATGAAAATTAACCGTATAACGTACAATAAATGAACATGATTCACAGATCCAGTGAGGATCCTGTTGTGTTGAGGCCTACTCGGTTATTTTCTTTTCAGTTTACTGGGGCTGACTCAGCCTTCATGAAAGAGGAAACTTGTCCTGTGTGAAACACATGGACTATCCAAGGGAGTTGGTCCGTCGATTTGGGTTACGGAACATAATTATTAAAATGATACATTTTATTCGTTATGTTGTCGATATCAAATACAGTTATATCGTTGATATTTAATTTTAAAGAACTTTAACGAAAAATTTTCGGTATTATTTACTTTAAAGAAAAATCATATTTTTACACTAAAAAGTCAATTCTGGTACTATTCACTTTACCCTTTATTTTGTTTTTATCGTTAACTCAAAATTTTCAAGTTATTTTCATTAGTTTTCTTTTAATTTTAAACAGTTAAATAATTAAATTTTAATTTATGATTGTTTTAGTCAATTTTATTATCTTTTTCGAATAACTTTTCATATGCAACAAAATAATCCAGAGCCCACAAATTGAAATATTTTTGCATGATTAGGATTAAAATCGTGATAGTCGACACTCTAATTTTTACGTCGAATCTTGTAATTAGGATTAAAATTGTGGAAATTACTGTATTTGGAATCTTGCTTTGCTCTCGAAGTCAAAAGAGCGATGACTTTGAAGCATCAACTTTTAGATTTATCTTTCTCGTCCACAATGACAGGGAGATTCCCATGTCCCAGATCTTGTCTATTTGCTGTGTTTGTAGGGTTGCTTCTATATTTTTCTGCATTCAACATCAAATCCATCGATAGTTTTGTTAAGTGGAATTAAGGTTGTATATTAAGATTTAACCACTTTCATCCCTCATGTTACACGTGATTACATGATCGAAAAAGTCACGTGATGAGTGAAATAAAAAAAATGAGTTTATATCCTAGCTACACGAGAAATTTTTCTAGGTAGCATGTTTGGTATCCTAATTGAAAATTTTAATCATTTCTCAAAACATTTCTTGAAAACAATTTTCTTTAAGATTCAAAAACTTGATTGGTTTGCAATTTAAAATTTTTAAATTTTACGACTTAAACTAGATAAAGAGATCTAAAAAGATGGGGTCGCAAGAGAGGGAGAAAGAGGAGAGAGGAGGAACGAAAGTAATAGATGATTGAAAGAAAGAAGAAAGGGGATCGAATGAGATAGAGAGGAAGATGAGTGAGAGAAAGAATTGAGAGAATGAAGATAACGGATTAGAGGAGAGACGAAAAAGGTAAAAAAAAGAGAAAAACTAATAAAAAGAGCTTGAAAACTTTGAGTTTTAACAATAAGGACAAAATAAAGGGTAAAGTGAATAGTACCATGATTGATTTTTTAATGTAAAAATATGGTTTTTCGTTAATATGAACAGTACTATGGGTTTTTCGTTAAAACTCCAAAAAAAAAAAAAAAAAAGAGATAGATTTGGAGTGAGAGGGGAAAAGTGAGAGAAAAGAAAGAAGTAAGTTTAAGTTTAAAAACTCTAAAAACTCACATTTTATGTTTTTAGAAAATAAACTATATTTTTTAGTTAGTCTCTTTTTCCCTTCCTCTTCCTATTTTTAATTCTACTCCTCCCTTACGCCGGAGAAGGATCTCAGAAATTGCACTCTTAGGCTTCGATCAAAGATCGGTGACTGCAGATCTGAAGGTTGGAGTTGTCGTCAATCATTCTTAGGTACCATGTAAAGCTAAGAATGAAAGAGGAGAAAGGAAAAAGTAGGAAGCAAGAGAATTTGATGGGGTTTCTCCAATGAAAATATCAGATCCGATGAAGGTGGCACGGTGGTAGGGTGTGTTCTTCGCGGTGCAAAGTGGGTTGTGAGAGGGAGGGTGATTATTTTTAATTTTTATTTCACTTAAGGGTAAATTAGGAATTCTGATTGACAAAAAAGTACAGTAGTTGACATTTTTTTAATTAAAAAAACTAGGTAATTAGGTGTTTGGCTTTTATTGGTTAGGAACACCAACTCAATTGGTTTACCAGTACCAGAAAATTTTCTCCAGCTACACGTAAAAATTGTCACCGTGATTTGAAAAACTACAAAAGACGAGTGGTTGAAATTCGAACCTTGGACGCAATCATTGCAATGGCCGAAAACTGATCAAAGCTATATGCTCGAGATGATACTTATACTTTTCTAATTTGCAGTAATAAAACTCACATTTACCAGAGGCCAAAAACATATAATTTCTTATAAACCTGTAAATATAGGGTTCCAAAAATACATTGTATAAAAAAAAAAGTTCTAAAAGTACAAAAAAATGTCTGCACTTTCTGGATTTTGTAACAGACATTAGTTATACATTAAAGTTCCAAAACAAAAAAATAGAGCGACCCCAAGCCAACAAGCTTCCTGCTTTGCGAAAGTTAGGGGAACGTCTATCATACGCAACCTTATTCTTATTTTGCAAGAAGGTTGTTTCCACGACTCGAACTCATGACCTCTCGGTCACAAAGAAGCAACCAATTCTTTCTATAATCCAACCTTTCATGCCATATAGGTAGGTTATGTACAGCTAGCTAGCTTCTAGTGCTGACTGCTAAGCGACATATTTGTGCTTTTTTTCTCAACCACCTACCTATTGTGCAATGGGTCAGGAGAAGAAGGCACTTGTCTGTTGATTGTGGCAAAAAACCCTTCATCATCTGCCGGGGAGTTGAAAACTTGAGGCTTCTCCAGATTTTCCACCTTCTCGTTTAAGCATCTGGCTCCGGAAACGCCGCCGCTGTCGTGTAAGCCGGAGATGCCCAAGAAGATCAAAAGAAGGCCAATGACTTGATTCCTTGTGATGAACATGGCTTCTGTAGATCCAAAAATGATGTCTTTGTCTCCCTTCAGCTTCTCTTTAAGCAAACATGTGGAGAGTATAAAATCCAACTTTTGGGTTTCTTTTGGTTGAGAGAGAGAGAGGAGAGAGAGAGGGGAGAGAGGAGAGAGAGGAGAGAGATGGGGCATGTAATGAAAGTTGGCAAGTTTTTAAAGGGAGGAGTTGTAAACTTACAAATGGGAATATGTGTTTTCACACGTCAATTTACTTCTCTTACATTCTTTTAATTTTTTTAATATTTTCTACACACCACTAACACTTGTAACAGACATTACTTATTCCCAAGTCATAAACTATGATAGGAGTGAGACTTTAATTAATGGCTTTGTGACGGTTGTTTGTTTGACTGGTTGTGTGTGACTTGTGTCCTACACCATCCCATGCCATGAACCCCATTGTTTTAATATTGCTTAACATTTCACAATTACCACACCTTAAAACAGAATATATTTTATATACACGAGAAATATAAGGGGAAAGAAAATTCAAACACAAGCTGTCTGAGTGCATGTATAGTAAATACTTCAGTTATAACTTATAAGTTGAATAAACGATAGCTAGAAAACTATAAAATTAAACGTTATTAACCACTTGAGTTACAAGGTTATGCAACTTAAATTAGATGTGATTCACTGTTAGTGTTTTGTGTTTAAGTTGTATCCACTGGCATAGCGAATGAAGGCTCGAGAGGATCACTTGACCTTTCTCACTTTCAAGTTTGTGTTATATGATTGTGTATTTGGTTTTTTATATCAAAATTATTAAGGTTTTGACCATTGAAAAGTATGATATTTTGATTCTTGGACCCATATCCTCAGAGCTATAACTCATCAATGAAATTTACAAATTTGTAATTTTCTTTCTTTATGTTGTGTCAACGATAACTGATTAGCTAATCACCTAAGCTAAATATACAATTTATGTCTAATTATGTCATACTAGAAATGTAGAAGTTAATGTACATAATACATTTAAAATCATCGTCAATGAGTTTTCAAACTATGACTTTGTGTTATTATATAAGCTTTCGTAATTTTTTTTCTTTTTCACTTTAAGCTTATAGATATTTAAGATTAACCCCCTATGGTAAAATTTCGCCACTAGTCGTATCAAACTAACCAGTCCAATAATATAAAAT